ATTTATTATAGAGAGTGTACTGAAAAATCATACAGGAACGGAGGACGACGTGTGCCAGGCAATAAAAAAAATTTTAAAATATGCGCCTGATCGAAAAGGTGGCAGCGGGAGAAAGTAAAAACATAGTTGATACAAAATAACGACCATGGTTTGGAAGGCCGGTAAACTTCAAAGAGTCACTTACTCAAACTTTAACTGATGTTGAAATCTGGGTAAACGAGATTCCGAGTGCACAAATGTTATCTTGCGTTGATATAATATTAAAATATTAATGTTTAGCCACAGAAGTCGCTTTTCAATTGGACAATCGTTTCGTTATACATAATCCGAGTGCACAAATCTTCAGCGTACACCAACATATATAGAACAGTGACTTTTGTCAAGCTTCCAAACCATGGTTATTTTCTATTAATCACGATAACGTTAAATAATTTTAAAAGACTATAGACTTTGATATATAAATTATATTTTGATGAAATTCAAATTAGTGTTAATGCTTGAAAAAGCCCTGTACCCCATATGTGTTCCTTCTGCCTTATTCCTAACCCATGGGAGACGCAGTGCGTTCGATGCATTAAACTAATTTGAATTTCATCTAAATATCATTTTTAATACCGTTTTTTTGACTTTCATCTAAATATAATTATTAATACCGTTTTTTTGACACGCTGTGTGTAATAACGATCTGGATAGCATCAATTAATAACTTTGTGTGTAGTAGTTTTTACATGTAATTATGATTAAGATAATCAATATTTCTTATACAAAATTGTATGTGTCCATTTCTGATTTTTTGCCTTTCTATTATTCCCCTGCCCCATTCGCGTCGTTTTGATTTGCGTTTTCAAACCTTTTTCGACGTCGTTTCAACGTCGGTAATGCGACGTCGTTTTGACGTCGAGAAAATGACGTCGTTTCGACGTCGAAACCGCGACGTCGTTGCGACGTCGATAGTATGACGTCGATTCGATTTGCGTTTTCGAACCTTTTTCGACGTCGTTTCGACGTCGCTGGGCGACGTCGAATCAACGTTGAAACGACGTCGTTTGGCTTACTGGGTAAAGAGTGCACTTCGTACACGTGTGTTGCCATAGTAACGGAGTACGTGTTACCACAGAGTAGATACATATACAGAGTTATAACTAGTGTACCCACTTTTTTGTGCGCGTGCTCGGCAAGTTACTAGATGCATACATCACATTGGATGGCGGCTCGCTTTAAAACTTGCCAAGCACGCGCAATTGATCATTTTTCGCCCCGTCGCCTGAAAAAAAGTGGGTACATGAAAACGTAAGCTTCCGCAGTGTTTACAATGGTCAGTTATAGCTCTGTATGTATCTACTCTGTGCTGTTACTAAAACTGACATAACTCTGCTCCCCAAGATATTCCAAAAATAACTAGCATCACGCCAATCTTGAAGAGTGGAGCCGTGACCGATCCAAATAAGGGACCGGTCATTATTTATGGCAGGGGTGGGGGCCGAAGAAAAAGTATAATGCTGCAGGAAAAAATCATTACCCCACCTTTTTCGAAACAAAATTTCTAGCTACCCCACCGGTGTTATGCTGGAAAATTATTTTACCCCACCCAAACCTATTTTGTTGCAACGTCAAAGGTCGGAGTAAGGTCCAGACATAAAATATGTAGTTTATTTAGTTTATTTTGTATGCGTATTAAACACGTTCTAAAGCTAAGTGGAATATTCTATTTAGTCTATTTTCGAACAAATATTCAATAAAACTGCATTTTCCGCACGAAATTTCACTAAAAAGTTGATAAAAATTAAAATATAGTTTGGTTTTAGTAAGCAAATTATCTGTAAAGGAAATATCTTAAAAAGTCTGTTAATTTAAGCAACAAATGGCGATAAAATGAAGAATGAAACTCTGGACAGATAATATGAAATTTTGAGAAAATTGAATGAACTTGATCTCAAGGATAATGTCAATGTTGGAATTAAAAGATTAACGCATATTTATCCAACTGGATAAGACAAGTTCAACGCGATACTTACAATGTGGCAACACAAGCAAAATCGTTACTAAAATTCAAATATATTATTCCTTTTTGCAAATTATGAATGTTTCGAGTTTGGTACTGCAATTGCAACGCCAAATTGTTACAAATTCTGCATAAAAGCTTTGATTTTGGCACTGCATTTGTAGCGCCAAATTGTTAGATATTCTGCAGGCAAGCTTAGAGTTTGGCACTTCAATTGCAGCGCCAAATTGTAAGATATTCTGCATGCAAGCTTTGAGTTTGGTTCTGCAATTGCAGCGACAACTTCTTCGATATTCTGCAGCCAACCTTTGAGTTTGGCACTGCAATTGCAGCGTCAACTTGTTAGACATTCTGCATGGATGTTTTGAGTTTGGCAGTGCAATTGCAGCGCCAAGTTGTTAGATATTCTGCAGCCAAACTTTGAGTTTGGCACTGCAATTGCAGCCCCAACTTGTTAGATATTCTGTAGTCAACCTTTGAGTTTGGCACTACAATTGCAGCACCCACTTATTAGATATTCTGGAGCCAACGTTTGAGTTTGGCGCTGCAATTGCAGCGCCAACTTGTTACAAATTCTGCATGTAAGCTTTGAGTTTGGCACTGCAGTTGCAGCGCCAAATTGTTATAAATTCTGCATGCGAGCTTTCAGTTTGGCACGGCAGTCGCAGCGCCAACTTGACACAAATTCTGCACAAGATCAACGCATATAAAACAAACGTTTTTTGTAGAATTTAGTAACACGTAAGTTTTTCTGGAAAAAAACTGGTTAAATATATCCGATTAGCATAAAAAATGCATTTTGTAAAATTTTTGGACAATATTTGAAATAAAGGTACAATTTCGCAGGATTTTCTCTAAATAGAATATTTCACTTAGCTTTAGAACGTGTTATTACTCATCAAGGTCCATAATTGCCCTTGATGAATAAGATCATCTGCTGTTAGAGACTAAATAATAATATTATAGGGTGCTTTGACCACATGTAAGTGGCCATTATAATTAAAAGGGAATGAGATTGATTGGTAAACATACTTGTTTACCAGTACCCCTTGCCTCTTATTTCTTGTGAAGTAATTAAAGCACATGCACTAACAGTCATGTGGGGCTGGCACGCTTATAACATATATAGTTAGCATTGTGCCTTATTATGGGTTACCTCTACAATTGCAAGGTACTATATAAAGAATTATAGTTATCTGAAGGCTTGAAATTTGTCTGCTGGAAATAAGACTTGTCATTTGTGTAGCAAGTTTCCTTTCAATGGAAGTTCATAATATAAAATAGAAATTTATGTTATAAGCCTTGGGGTGGGCCCATAGGGAAATGCCAATAGAATTAAAGGATTTTGGATTTATAGAAAAGGACATTCCACAGAACAAGAATATTGGAAACAACAGATTATTACAAAAAAGTTAATTTCTTTTCCAATATTTCCTAACGATTTATCGCATACTGTATATCTATGGATAAAATTGTACAAGTAATGAATGATGAACTACATTATATATAGTATACAGTATTTTAATATAAATAAAATTTTGATAAACTATAGCAAGACTAACTATGTGGTAATTACATCTTCGATCAAAGAAGAAATATGCGACATATAATGTTAAATAAAAATTGTGTATAAAATATTTAGATGTTTAGTATCGACAATAAATTAATTAGATATTACACCGATTTATAGATACGTAAACATATTTATTGTACTCTAATATAGCCTCATCTTTATTAAGGCTTAATGAGTTGGAGTAATACATACAAAAGTCACAACTTTTCTTAATAAATTGAAATGCTATCAGAACGCATATATACCTATAAAAAGCATTTTCTTTGCCCATATGAGAGAACATGCTACGCCATATTACAATATTTTAACTTTTCTGAAACTTGATACCATTTTTAAGTTGAAAATTGGTATATTCACATTCAAACTGTCCAGCTTGCCTCCACATGCCATTCGTACAGCACTTTAGATTTGCTGATAATCAAAATTTCAGTAGACCAAGAGCTCGAACTAATTATGGTGTTCATTCATTCAATTCTGTCTCTTCGCAAATATGGCAAAGTATTGATTCTGAAATTAAACTTTCAACTTCAGTTACAAGTTTTCAAAAAAAATATGCGCACTTTTTACTTTTTTCACAAGATTAAATACCTCAAGCTCTATCTCGCTCCTAGTAACTAACTTTAGTTATTGGCAGTGGTCAACTCCGAAGCCTAGGTTACTTTGCAGGGACCGCGGAACAGGGGGGCGGTGGGACATGGCTCTCCCTCTCTTTCGGTGGATAATAAAAAAAATGTATTTTGTGTATTTATGAAGCCGAGTTGTCTATGAGCGAATAGTCAAGCCGAGTTGACTATATTTGCTCAGAGACAACGAGGCTGTGTTGTCTAGTTGTTTCAGTATAAACGAAACGAAACCAAAACTATACCACATAAACGAAACTGAATTTTTAACTGACTTACCATATTCTTTGATTTTGCGATTTACAGCGTGCATGCATGGAGTAAGGAGTAAATCTCATTTGCGTGCATGGAGCAAATCTACTCTTTCTGGTGATCTTTAGTTGCCCAAAATAAAACATCGTTTCAAAGAATGTTTTAAATGATTGAGAAAAATTTGCAGTATACATTTCGGACCTGTCATTGTAAGGGCCCTTACCACGACCAAAGCACCCGGCAAGCGCGAGACTCCGGCTAGAGGAACTTAACAGTTTTCAAAGGTGACTATTTACATGACAAATCGACATGATCCCGTCCGAAAGAGAGGGTATAAGGAAATGGATCTCGCCTAGGCGAGATCAATATTTTGAAGAGGGTCCAAGATAATTGATTTAATTTAAAGGTTTTAATTTGTTTTTTTAATATTCTAGAAATAATACGAGATTGAAGTTATTCGCAGCCGTTACTGTCGTTATGATAACGAGTGGTTTCGAAGTTTTGGTAAACTCACAGTACATGATTGAAATGAACAAAGATTTGGAAGGAAAGGCGCTGACTGGTTCCGCATTCCGTAATTTAACTATGAAAACTATGGTGGATTGTTTTCTGACTTGTATTAAAGACTGTCTATGTATCTCGTTTCAAATGTGTAATGAAACAGAATGTCAATTATTGTCATCCAGTCAATTTCAATCAACATTGGATACTATCATAGGATGCACTTATTATGACATGGTTCCATCATCATCAAAACAAGTACGAAATTGATATTATGATAGTTCAATTTGTTGTTGTTTTTAATTTAATCTTCTTGATATTTTGTGCATGTTTTGTTAATTAGTTTGTTCTTCTTTTTTTCTCTATTTTCTTTAATCAAATTTGGCATTGTTAGTCGTATTTTCCTTTTGGCATTTTTTGTATTTCTTTTTCCGTTGTTCCTTGTGCGACTCTCTACTTCTTCATACATGTGTTGTTCTGTATTTTCTTTGTTTTGCATACCATTGAGTGAGGTTATTTTAGACCGTATTTCCTCTATTCAACCACCTAGACTAACCATGTCAAAGTGCAAAAGGGCATGTCGGAGTCTATTTCGCCGATCTGTGTAGTGAATGGCGCCGCGAATGGTTTCTTTCTATAATAGCACTAATCGCTTGACGTGTTCCATTAATTATAAAATGTTTGCCAATTGTTCCAAGACCGAAGTGGTGAAAATGGTAGGAAACCTTCCCCTTTGTAGGCAAGACGTCTGCGTCTTTGTTCAACAGAATTCCGTTTGGCAGCTGCAAATTGTATATCCCTTACAAAAATTCCACATGATTTCACATGTGTGAAATTTCACATGTGAATTTGGGACATGTGATTTTTCACATGTGAAATTTCACATGTGAAATTATGTTTCACATGTTCCAAATTCACATGTGAAACTTCACATGTGAAATTTCACATGTGAAGTTTCACATGTGAAACACATAATTTCACATGTGAAAAATTACATGTTCCAAATTGACATGTTCCAAATTCACATGTGAAATTTCACATGTGAAACTTCACATGTGAGACACATAATTTCACATGTTCCAAATACACATGTGAAATATCACATGTTCCAGTTTCACATGTGAAATTATGCAAAGCTTCATTCATGCACATTTAAACCTGTCAAACAGTGAAATACTGTATATATAGGAAGTTTAAATAATTTATTTATACAGTTAATTTTTACAAATGTTTAGCTACCATACAAAATAATTTGTAATAAGGAAAAATAATAAAATACTGCAATTTTTCTTCTTTTCGTATCAGCATTTCTTTTGTCTTTGCACTTTTGGGCCATGGCAGCTTTCACTGATGAAGCTGTTGCTCCCGCAAAACGTTTAGTCACATGAGCTATAAGAAAGGAAATACAAGACTATCATTAGCTCTACATATTTCATGTACTGGAACTCCACAGTCAGTTAACATTACAATATATAGCACTTCACAGTACGCATGCAGCAATCTGAGCAATTCCCTCCTGTCCAACCTATAAACTTTGCACCTTATTTAACGAATGGGAGGACCTAATATAGTAACACAACCCAACCCTTGGTTGAAGTTGATTCTAGTATTATCATAATTGATAACCCTTGGTTCTCTGTGCGGGCGACACATGGCAAATTGGAAAGTGCTGCAAGGCTATCTTCTCAACAAGTAAAACTGTAAAATTTGCTGGCATTAGACAGAGTAATATAAAGTAGAGCATATTGCCAGTGAATGGGTTAACAAGAGAAATATGCAGATATGATTTGTTAACAGACATCTCAACAGCACCCGCAATATTTTGCGAGGTATCCGCTACTGGTTGTTGGTATTTGTGATATAATACGCTATTGGCTCATTCCAGAAAACATTGACATAGATCCATAAGATTATGATTTCACCTTAGTTACATTCGAGAGGAGTGCTACTTGTTTCAGTAACCCACTGAGTGATATCACTGACAAGTAAAATCATCTGACATTGGGTCATTCCAGAGAACATCGATACCTCCCCCATGAAGGAAATTGGAAGTTAACCCCCTATCCCCTTCGAAATTCGAATGTCCTAATACACTTACTATTATCACAAACAATTTTTTCTCCCCTCCCCTCCGGACGGTAGAAATTTCCTCTGTGCCCAGGGGAGAGTGGATCTTTTCTGGAACGACCCATCAGACAGAGTAAAACAATAAAATTGTGCCACAATGCAGCTTATGCCATGTCCGGCCTAGTGTAATATCAGGTTAATACCCCTCTTAACGACCTGCCAAACTTCTTGAGAAGTATTCCTGTTTTTTGTTGGGTTAATATGGCCATGTGTCTAGTGAACCCATTAAGTTGTATTGTACCCTTGTGTGTCCTACTTCCTTATTTTACTGTCTTAATTTTAAATGCCAGATTATTGTACTCTGTCTAATGCCAGACCATTTTACTCATCAAGGCTAAGTGGATCATCAAGTATGCTGGTGCATACTCCTGTAATTAATGGTTATTTATAAGTTAATTCAATCTAGTAGCATTGGATGCACATGTAAAAAGAATACTAGTTTTATGCCGTTGTAAGCTTAGACTGTTTTTATAATGCTTAGAATGCTTAAGCATCCTAAGCTTAGAATGATAATGTTTTTATTCTACTTCTATCTGGCCTAGACAGTATCCCACCTGCCAGGACGAGAAACTCTCATATAAGCATTCTATCGTCCCTGCCAGGCGAGGTGTATTCTGTCTATATTAAACACACCATCCTGGATTAAAACCTACTGTCCAGTCATGCCATTATCATATAAACAGGCACATATATACATAAAGGGTAAACTCTAGAAGGGTTTAGCTTGGATATCCTTCAAGCTCAAGCTAGCAAAAGTTTATAGTACTTTTTTACCATATTGTGGGAAACACTAACCCTTTAGTCGTATGCGCCCTGATGCATTCAATAGTTGTGTTTACACTACCAGCCTTGGTCTAGCCATGGCACGCTGTATGAGTAGCCCGCAACCACCTGGAGAAAATAGGGTCGCACGGTCAATCGCGTTGAAAAAATCATAGGGTCGGCAGAAAAAATTAGGGTCGATCGGGAACCGGAACCACAGGTATTTTTTTACACGCCTAATTTTACTCTGTCTAACCCGGCCAGTAACCCTAGGTGATTTTACTTGTCAAGGGGAGAGAGCTGGCACTCAATGACTTGAAAGACCTTGGAAATCCAGGGGAGAGGCGATTAAAAGAACAGAATACACAATCAAATACTTAAATTCAATCCATGTACATGCTAACCAGAAATATACACTGTACTGATAATCTATCATCAATCAATTATCTATGTTGGGTCAACAGTTTTCTGATTCAGATAGATAACATTGTGATTTTCTCAAGTTTAATTAATACTCTCAAATAATTTTCATGTTTTGGCTTTTAACAGGCTTGTGGGAAATGTTTTCACACGCAAATAAAGTTTTTCTGTTCATATATTTACTTCAAAACCTCTTACAAGTCTTACAAAATAAACCCAAACCTAAACATGTCCGCCATTTGTATTCCTGTCCCATCGTTAATTGGGGCCCGAAAGGCTAAGAAACATTTAACTGTTTAATTGTCCTTAGAGTCTGCAATATCACTTATTATCTGTCCGATCTTTTCTAACGCCCTTGTTTTCGCCGCTCTCGATTTTCTTGACTCAAAGGCTTTCGCCTTTGGATTCAATGCCTTCGATTGCTGTGATTTAGTTGGTGCACTTGCCAACTCCAACGGGTATAGATGTTGAAGTGGTCTTTCCTTTCTTCCATTACCAGTTTTAAGCATGGCACCTCGAACAACTCCGTCCTTTCCAGCAATCAATTTCTCAACTACTCCCATTTTCCACAGTCCTCTGTTCTTTTCTTCATCTTGTAGAAGCATAACATCACCAACGTTTATCTCCGACTCCTTACCAGTCAATTGTCCATGACGTTCTCGCAACGCCCTTACGTATTCTGAAGACCATCGTTTCCACATTACATCCTTACACCGTTTTAGATATCTGACCGCTTAACCATTGCCTTGACTTCGTCTTGTTCGTCAGGATCTTCCTCAGGTAGGCTGATGTTAGCACCATGGATCATTCCAATTGGAGTCAAAGGTTGAAGTTCAATATCATTGTCCAAGTATCCTAACGGCCGGTTATTCAAGGTTATTTCAACTTCTAACAGTACCTCTTTCAGTTGCTTGAAGGTAAGATTTGCATTTCCAATAGCTTTCCTGAACGCGTTCTTCACGAGCCCCACCATTCGCTCGAAAAACCCGCCCCACCATGGACTCCTTGCGAGATTAAACTGCCAATGGATTTCACGCCGAGCGAGGTAATCGTACACGACTTGACTACGTTTGAGTTTTCGTAACCACTTTGCCATGGCGACAAACGTTTTCGCATTGTCACTAACAATCTTCGCTGGTCGACCTCTTCGTGCTACAAATTCCTTTTAACTCTTTCGCCGTCATATCTGGAAGGAGGTCAAGGTGTACAGCTCGAGATGTAGCACAGGTGTACAATGCCACGTAGCATTTCCCTTGAACTCCCTTCTTGATCTTGTATGAAATCGGGCCCGCGATTTCATACAAGATCAACCTATACTAATAACCCACAAAGACATACAATTCCCGTGATTTCTGGAACTCGGCAATCGGGGCCTCGCTCGAATCGTCCTCCTGCAGATTTGAGAACACATAGACAATTGGTAAATATTCCAATTAATTATCAACTTTCCAACCAGCAACACACTGATTCAAGCCAAACTAGCCTATGTTTGAAGGTAAAGAAACATCTGAACATTGCCCATCTCAACATCATGCAGAACTTAGACACTTGGTTTATTCACAAGACTTTGACATTTTATCCCTTTCAGAGACTTGGTTGAATTCCTCCAACTCCAACGCTAGTATTCGCATCACAGATTACAACCTCTATAGACTTGATCGCCTTACAAAAGGAGGGGGTGGGGTTTGTGTATATGCTCGGAATGGACTTAAAGTTACACCGCGTAAAGACCTAAGCAGTATTTCACCTGACAACTTTCACCAATTGTGGATTCAATGTCAACAACGCAAACTACGATCATTGGTTATTGGAGTAGTACATAGACCACCAGATTGCCCAATATCCTGCTTAAGTAATCATCTATCACCGATCATGAATTATGTTTTAACTCTAAATAAGGACGTAGTACTCCTTGGAGACCTCAACTGTGACATGCTCAAAAACGATCGTCATTCTACAGCTTTGGACGAATTCTGTGTTAACTATAACTTAAAGCAAATCGACAAATCGACGCGTGTAACTGAGAATAGTAAAACGTTAACCCTATTTGTACCGGAGGTTTTTCATGTTGATATGACCGGGGGTGCGCTTATAGGGCGCACCCCTCAGAAATTCTGTCGATTAACTGCCATTATCCTATAAGTTTTATTTTTAGTAAGTTTTATCTTTCTTTAACCTAAAAATAACAAAAAAGTTAAATTCACATCCAAAATAGGCAAAATACTGTTTTTTGGCCCCATTGAATATGACCGCCTACCCAAAAATGGCGAATATAGCTAATATTTTTAGTAATTAAAGAGATAACAAAACATTTTATAATTAAAGAGATAACAAAACATTTTGGATGTGATATTTTTTGGGTCTTTTATATTCAAAAGACATACTTTTATGTTATAGCATATCTCAGATGTCCATAAACACCACTATTTTACTTTCCAAGTTGGCATTTCTGTGCCATATGAAAAGACATACAACTGAAACTTACCAGTCTCTCATATAAATAATCCAAATCATTTTCAAGTTTCGACATCACTGATTTTACCTTCATATCATTGTGACAGTGTCATTGTTGTATAAATAATGTTCCATTATTCTCATAGTATCCACAATTGTGCATTCTGTTGAAACTCTAGCACTTTTTTTGGCATAACTTCTGTAGTGTAAACATAAAATGTCGACCAATAAAAGTTTGTAGAAAAAATACGAAACGGCAGCCATGTTTTATACCAATATACTATGTGTTACATGAAGTGTAAGGCAGGTGAGCTACGAGATACGAGCCTGCAGTATAGTTTTGAAAACACAATATTTTAATACTTTGAAAATCATGGCAATCATTCTGGATTTTATGCAAAAGTTTTACTCTCATTTGGAACTGAATTTCTGGTACGAAAGTGTTCAATATATAATGCATCCTACAAGTTTGATTCTTGCTGAAAGACAGGGAGATGTTATGCCTTGAAGGTACAAAGAAATATGTGTATTTGAATATATAAAAATATTATAAATAAGTATTTTATATTATATAAGTATTGTATAGTACGCTATATTATATGTTATACTATATTTACTATTTCATATAATATATTATGGATATTTTACTTTGCAAATCATGTGTAATAATCCATCTTTATATGTTCTCTAATTATATTATGTTATTTATGTCCTGGGAAGTGATTCAGCCAAAAAATACTGTCCAACCCACATTACCCATTTTTGGCCCCGACACCTTGTTTGACAAATATCGCCAAACGTCCGGATAACTTTGAATTTTCAGAAAAATTTTTTCGCAGTCATGACGGAAGAGGGAAAATATTAAAAGTCATGAAAGCACAGGCAAATCGGATCATTTGTTCAGGAATGACGGATAAATGTTTATAGGGGTGCGCTCATTGTGCGCACCCCCGGTACAAATAGGGTTAATTGATGTCATCATCCTGTCAAATCCTAGTATGGTTAAAGAAAGTGAACCTTAATTTGAGAAAGTCTAAACAAAGGAAGTCCTACATCAAGGTGCGCAGCTATAAAAACTATAATAGCTCACGATTTGCGGAAGATATCGGTAAAGTACCTTGGCATATTTTGGATATATTTGATAATACTGAAGAGAAAGTGGAAACCTTTAACAATTTATTGTCGTCAGTATTAAACTCTCACACTCCATTAAGAACTGTCAAAGTCTCTGCGAAACCAATTCCCTTTATGACTTCGGACTTGATGATCGCGCGTGACCGAAGTCATAGAAAAGCGAGAAGATCTGGTGTTGAAAGGGATTGGTCCGAGTTTAAAGAAAAGAGAAGAATAACAAAGCAACGACTGGAGAAGCAGAGAATGCATATATCCAAGAACAAATAAAATCAAGTAAAGGAGATAGTAACTGCATTTGGAAAGTTATACGCCAATGTATGTCATCGGAGATTCTAATAGACCCACATACCCCAGAGATGCCACTGTAGTTGTGGAAGAATTCAACGACTTCTTTACTACCGTGGGAATGAAGAGTGCCCAATTAGCTAAAGATATAGCACAGCAATTTGAATTGCCACCCGTTATTGAAACCTTGGCTTTGACTACAGCGACAGTGGATGACAATATGTTTCAACTCAGACAAGTGACAACAGAAGAAGTGAGTGAAATTATCACCATGATGCCCTCCAATAAAGCTCCTGGAAACAATACAGTCCATTTAAGAGTTCTCAAGGATTGTTTATCTTCTGTTGTTCAACCGATCACGTCAATAATAAATTCAAGCTTTCTCAAAGGAATATTTCCCAGTCAATGGAAAATATCTGAGATTACTCCTATTCCAAAGAATGATGATTATGAAGAAGCCGAGAATAATCGCCCAATCTCCTTGTTGCCTGTCTTATCTAAAGTTTGCGAGCGAGTAGTCCATAATCAATTTACAAATTATCTTATCCAAAACGAAAGATTCCCAACTAACTAAAGTGGAAATAGAAAACAACATTCAACCGAAACATTGGGCCTTGCAGTAACTGATTACATATTGGACGCCATGGACAGAAAACAAATAACTGCAATGGTCCTACTAGCTTGATTTCACCAAAGCATTCGACAGTATAAGCCATTCATTATTGTTGAAGAAATTGCTTCACCGAATGCCTTACGTTGGTTTGCAAGTTACCTTTTCAACGTAAGCAACAAGTCCGAATTGGCAAAACCCTCTCATCTTCCAGGACCGTGACCCATGGTGTGCCGCAGGGTTCCATCTTGGGACAACTATTGTTCAATTTATATATCTATGACCTTCCCAATGCCTGCACTGGATCCGAGATTGACTCTTTTGTTGATGATACGAAACTCTATGCAGCACTTAAAGTTGCTGATCTCGCGGATGACTTGAACCTCCTTACAAACGACCTTAATAGGGTGGCAGGCTGGTGTTGCTCTAACCAGCTGCTCATTAATCCGGAAAAACTCAGTTCATACTGTTTGGTACTCGTCAACTACTGCAACAAAGGCCAGTCGATCTTCAACTGTCGTTCCTTGGAAAGACCCTACGTCCAACAAAATGTATTAAAGATTTGGGAATCAAGCTCGACGAAAATCTTTCCTATGATGAGCATACCAGCAAAGTTGTATCTTCGCGTAACTTGGCATTAAAACAGATAAGTAGAGTAAAGTATCTTTTCGACCAAAAACGTTGGTTTATATAATTCAATCACTGGTTTTCAGTAAACTTTTTTACTGTTCCACAATGTGGTCGAACACGTCCAATAAGAACATAACAAAACTCCAGCACGTTCAAAATTACGCAGCGCGAATTGTTACAAATACAAGAAAGTTTGAACATGTAACGCCTGCATTAAAACTTTTAAAATGGATTCCTGTAAAGGATATGTTGTATTTCCGTGAAGCTGTGATGACATATAAATGTATTAATAATCTGACTTCAACTCACTTATGTTCAAAAGTAACGTCCTGTCAACAGAGAAAGCGTCATTATAATTTACGTAGTGATGGCAATTTACGCCCGCCAAAGTTTAGGACAACTTCTGGACAATGCACATTTATATATCGTGCATGTAAGATATGGAACACTATCGATGAATCTGTAAAACTATGCGAAAACATTTCAACTTTTAAAAATAAACTTAAGAACGTGTTAGTTCAAAGATTTATTTCAGCTTTGTTATATATGACGTTTAATCACGCCAATGTTATAGATTATAGAGACGTATATAATTAGTGTTTTACCTGTATTAAACATTTTAGGACATGTATTTGTAAATTATCACTGAAAAGCCCTTTTGAGATGTGTTAATAAATCACTATCAATCAATCAATCAATCAATCAATCAAAGCCCTACTGTTTCAAATGTCCGACTTCCCGTAGCGCGGAATTCTGGTAACGGCGCTTGCGTTGGTGTTGGTAGAGGTCTTGATCTGTACTTCACACATGTATTGAACTTGTGTAGCACCGACTTGACCAAGGATCTTAGCTTTTCGATCCACCATTTCTGTCGAATTTTGGCCATCGTTAGCCCTACTCCTCCGTGGAGAGTACGTTCGTGGACATCAGAAACCACGAGACTCGAGAAGCGATGATTTCTTGGAAGGTAGACTGGATGCTCCCCGATTATCCGTCCTTTGCACCTTAGTACTCCCTTTTCATCTGCTTCCAAACCCAGCTTAGATGCGATAGCTGAATGGTTTTCTTCTTTGGTCGCTTCTTCCTGAACGAGTTTTATCCAGAAAGTTTCAGTATGATTAATCTCATTGGTAGTCAAAACGCCTTTCGTTTTTCTCTGCTTCGTTTTGTTAGACACGAATCTGAAAATCCATGCAACAATACGCAAAACCTTCCAGAGGTTCCATTTCACAAGAAGATCGTTCAAATTGTTCTCTTTCATAACAATTGTGTGTAATTTCTGTACGGTTACTCTATGTTCTTCGCTAACTTCCTTGGTTTTCTTTAGAGTTATATCGGTTGGCCACTTGTTCTCGTCAGCTAACCATGTCGATCCTGTCCACCACGTAGAATTTCTCAGCTGTTGGATATTTCCGACTCGGTTACCGATGTCTGCAGGATTTTGGGTGGTTGGACAATGTTGCCAGATTAACTCTTTCTGTTGTATTTCTGCAACTCGGTTGGACACGAACTGTTTCCATTCACCGTCTTTATTCTTAATCCAATAGAGAGCCACTATGCTGTCAACTGCTAAAGTATTCTCTCGCCTTGTCCCACTTCATCCCGAGAATCTTTGTTTCGGCTGGTTTTGTACCCAACTCCTCCTTTGCATATGCTTGATCTTCATCCGCTGATTGCTGCTCCTCAAACCGAGGGTCACTTGAGTGCCACTTGTGCAATGGAAATCCTCCTTGGCTAAATAGTTCAACAGACTCTTCCTTGAACTTTTGCACTTGCTTGATAGTTTCACCTCCAGAAATCACATCGTCCACGTATGTGCTATCCTTAAGCTCCTCCACTGTGTCCGGATAATCTTTCTGGCAATTCTCAAGATGTCTATTAAGTCATGTTTCGCTTGCTATTCTGGTTTAAATAAATGATTACAAAGCCCAGTCGAATTGTAATCAAGACCCAACGTTTCGACACTCCAGTCTAATGTCTTCATCAGGGGTGATCTAAAATTGCAATCGTGGCATCTTAAATCAGGGCCTTTTTTAACATACAAGCTGGGGGGGGGGGCAAATGCCCCCCAGTCCCCCCTTGTGCCCCGCACGAAATCACATTTTGTCCCCCCCCCCAGGAAAAGTCCCTTTTTCCTAAAATTATACAAACAAACCGGCGAAGATTAACAAATAGATAAATGGAAAGTAAGTTTTAGGCTTTATCCCTTGTCCTTGTTTAACAAAATCGATTTAAATTGTTACGTTTTTCTACCACTAAGTAATGATAAATTTTTGTTAATAATTTTTTATTTTTTGGATGCTCAAAATGCAGGAAATAGAATTTCCGGGTCTCAAGTTTCAAAAATTTTCTGGGGATTATCCCTCTAATAAGTAATGATAAACTACGGTTAATATTCTTTTTTACTTTTTGTGCATTTTTTCCTTCTTTTATTTCAAATACAAGTATAGTTAGCATAAATTTTAGAGCAAATTTGGATGCTCAGAATGCAGGAAATGGCATTTCCGGGATTCAAATTTCAAAAATTTTCTAGCCGGGAGTGCACCCCAACACACGTGACCATTGCTGTCCTCCTCTAATAAGTAATGATAAATTATGGTTATTTTTTTCAGTTACTTTTTGTGCATTTTTTCCTTTATTTATTTCAAATACAAGTATAGTTAGCATAAATTTTGGAGCAAATTTGGATGCTCAGAATGCAGGAAATGACATTTCCGGGATTCAAATTTCAAAAATTTTCTGGGGGAGTACACCCCCAGACCCCCCAATCATGCGTGGTATATTGGCCACACACATGGCCTTCACCCATTGCTATCCCCTTCTAATAATATTATATCACAGAAATGCCCCCCCCCCACGGGAAAATCCTTAAAAAAGGCCCTGTCTTAAATACCCAATGGATGACGTCACCTGCCAATGAGATGCATATATTCCTTTGGCAAATAGGCACCGTCATCCCTATTCAAAGCATGATTACTCATATTTATATGCCACGCTTCTAGGCAAAGTCTTTGACCATAGCGATTGTTTGTGATAATTACTTTAGAGTTTTCCCACGCAATCTCGTGTTTGGTGTAACATACATGTTCGGCTAAAGTTGATTTTCCCTTGTCTAAAGTTGAAACAGCCTTTTGATGTTCTTTTAGCCGTGTACCAAACTGGCGTTTAGACTGACCCAAATACTCTTTCTCGCAGTCACCACATGGTATAGAATATACAGCATCAGTTTTCATTAAGAAAACGATTACCCAAAACGTTTTCTTAATGATTGCCTGAGATCACCTGTTTGTAGGAATCAAAATAACTCCGAGGGTGATACCTCTGTTAAGGGTTATGCAATAGTTCCATACATTCAAGGTGTCACAGAACAAATCAAGAGAATCTTAAGTAATTGTAATATTAAGGTTGCCTTAAAACCCTATTTGACTTTAGGCCATATTTTTGCAAAGCCAAAAGATCCTGTTAAAACAAATCAGAAAACTCATGCTGTATATTCTATACCATGCGGTGACTGTGAGAAAGAGTATTTGGGTCAGTCTAAACGCCAGTTTGGTACACGGCTAAAAGAACATCAAAAGGCTGTTTCAACTTTAGACAAGGGAAAATCAGCTTTAGCCGAACATGTATGTTACACCAAACACGAGATTGCGTGGGAAAACTCTAAAAAGTAATTACCACAAACAATCGCTATGGTCAAAGACTTTGCCTAGAAGCGTGGCATATTAATATGAGTAATCATGCTTTGAATAGGAATGACGGCGCCTATTTGCCAGAGGAATATATGCATCTCATTGGCAGGTGACGTCATCCCTTGGGTATTTAAGAAACCACGATTGCAATTTTAGATCACCCCTGATGAAGACACTAGACTGGAGTGTCGAAACGTTGGGTCTTGATTACAATTCGACTGGGCTTTGTAATCATTTATTTAAACCAGAGTAGCGAACGAAACATATTCTCACTGTTTCGACGCAAGAAAGAAAATATGAAACGAAAACGTTCAACGAAAATTTTGCCAAGAATGTTCGAACCTGCCGTTTGCTGTTCCCGGAAACGTGAAGCTTAAACTCCCTATAGTATACCCACGACAACGTAAGTGAGTTGTGTGTTTGATTTACACAGTACAACTCAAGTTGTAAGCAGGTTGCATGCGACAGTTTTAGGCAAAAGTTGTGTAGTCTAAATTGGCCTTAAGGTTCGGTCACACGGAGCGACAAGTCGCAGGGGCATGTTGCAGGGACATGTCGCGGGGTCGAATTTCATCGTGTGTCACATGTGTAAGCGTTGTCGCGGGGACAAAAAATTGTCCCCGCGACATGTCGCATGAAATCAAATTGATTTGATTTCATGCGACGTGTCGCGGGGGAAAAAACCGTTGCCGCGACTTGTTGCATCGTGTGAGCTAGTCTGTTCACAAGTCGCGGGGAAATAATTAGTCCGACCAATCACAAAATATCATTCCCATGACTACTTGCACGCTCAATTTCAATATAAGTCCTCATGGGAGTTCTTTGACTTGTCGCATGAATTGTCGCCTCGTGTGACCACGCGCCTGTAAGCGCTTGTGCGACTTGTTTTCGCCTAGCATTGTCGCTTCGTGTGACTCGTTTCGGGCGACATGTCCCTGCAACATGCCCCTGCGACTTGTCGCTCCGTGTGACCGAACCTTATGGTTTCTCGTGCAATTTGGGAAAAACATGCACGAGTGAGTTTTTCAAAGACGATCAAAATTGCACGAGTGCGAAGGACGAGTGCCATTTGACGTCTTTGAAAAACTCGCAGCAAACCTTTTTAGTCTATGTGCTCCTTGTACTTAAATTGTTACATTCATGTGCGATATATTCACGTACAAAAAGTGAAAATTTACATTGCTACTTATATCTGCCACCATGTTGATTTTCTCTGCCTCATTTCCAGGCTCTGCTCTTGTTTTGTTAATTGGACTGCAGTAATTGCACAGTGTGAAATTTCAAAAATAATTGTACTGCTCTTAGCCAATCAGAAATGAGTAATCTGTTCATCTATATTATTATATAAGTTACATAGAAGCGCGGTCGAATATAACATGTCGTTTTTGTCGGTCGAATATACAACATGTGGTCATATATTTGTCATAACATGCGTGAGTTTTAACTTCCTAGGATGAATTTAATTAAGTAGTCTAATAACCAAACAGAAAACGGTGTAAATAAAATGAGCCATACTCAGTAACCTGAAGTAATGCAGTTTAATGGTTACTTGTGAATCGTGTTTCTAGTGATAAATATGCGAGTTCTGTATGAATTTAGACTTTGTTTTCAGAATGTGTCCAGTTAATGCAAATGTGCTGTAAATTAATTCACCATGACAGTATTGATCGGCACGAATTATACGTTTCAAATTTCCGCAAAAAAAGTTGTCATTTGTCAAGTAAGCATCCGGAAAAATTTGCTATGCAAGGGAATGATTATCATGTAATCAACATGAATATCACTATAGGAAGCCTTTTATGAGAAACAATATCCACCCTAAACGTCATTACTAAAAAAGCAGTTATGTTTTGAAACGTAAGATCTCAAACGAGGACCTCAAACAAGGACGAGAATTGACGAGAGTTGACAAGCCCGAGTTTGCATGAGAATTTTCTCAACTCTTGTTCCGAACAAACGAAAACAAGAGTTGCATGAGAGTTGACTGCATATTATCGCGCGTGTAGATCAAACGAAGAAAATCGCTAATCAGCTCTCGTTAAAATTTGAAGCAGCTCAAAGTCACGAAAGTTCATTAGAGTCGATGGAAATTGACGGTCAACTGTCATGAACTCTCATCCAAGGCTTTATACTGTACGCGTCTGCTAGCTACACTTCCTCAATTTTAAACTCTTGACAATCTTAAATCCTTGCTAAAACCCATACAATGCAACGGATCACGCCATAAACCAGCAAACAAACCATTAACCAAGTAAACAAACATTTTAAGCACACTTACGTTACACGAATTTTGTATATTCTGATGCTCTTGCTGTAGTTCGCTCGAGGAATTTTCGTCGTTTCCGACTTCACTGAAGTTTGAAACAAGATCCTCTTGACTTTCTTTGATCCATTGTCTCATCTGCAAGGCAAAATAAATACGTTTTATCACGCTGCTCTATGGCAGCACATGACTGCGCCATTCCCATACTCAATAACGAAATAGGAACATTTTTTACACGGAATAAGCAAACGGGACTGGTAACGAATATTGCTTTAGTAGTGACGTCATCAATGACTCTTGTCAGCTTAGTGATAATAATAATACTGATCTTAAATGCAAGCACAGCTTGTTAATATCCCCTATCTATTCAGGTCCCGCATTCAAGTTGGAATATCACGTCACGCTCAGAAATCACGCGATATTAGGTTTAGCAAGGTTTTACGAATCCACATTTGGAAAAGGTAATAAGATCAACGTATTCGTCCCTGGCTTGCTTGAGGAGGCTGAAACGTATCACGCCGTTCTCGTTGAGAAAACAACTAGCAGAATTATTGATTTTATCCAAACTGGATTATTGCAATTGCTTATACGGATCCTTGCCTGATTATTTACTCAAACGACAACAAAAAGTCCAGAATGCTGCGGCAAGTTTTGTGATTGGTAAATTTGCGAAAGTGAATGATGTGCTAACATTGGGATGGCTACCAATCAAAGAAAGGATTGAGTTTAGTATTGGGAAACTGGCGTATCAGGCCCTAAGAGATAACAAATGGCCAAGTGATCTATCGCTCCAAGTCAAAAGAGTTTCAAGAGTTCTGCGTAGTAACTGTGACGGTGGTTTGAAAATTGAATATTCTAACATTGAAGACAGTTTTCAGTCCAATGCTGCTAGAGTTTTTAATAGTCTTCCAGAACATTTGAAACTAATGGATTTTAAAAATTATAAGATTACTCTTAAAAGAATTTTATTAGATCAAGGTAGAGAAAGGATTGATAAGGATTGATTAATTTTCTCACATAACCTGATTTTAACTATTCAAATTTATTTATATTGTACTTGTAGTTGTACAAGACAGTTGTAAAAATTTAGAAATAGTTTGTTAGTTTTTTTAAGTGTATGGATGAAGAGCCATGTAATGTGGATATGCCAGATTAAATCTTTATTATTATTATTATTATTATTATTATTATTATTACGACTGTCTGAAAAAAAATCCCTTTGTTAAGTAAGGTAAATGAAAGCGATAAACTGAAGCTCTGCCGAAGTAAACCTGTGAAATTTTGACGGCTAATGCATGGATGCCGTGTATGTTTTTATTTTGCTAACATTTTCCACCCAAAATGGCGGAAGTCAAACAGCTTTGTCAAATTATCTGTTGTGACGTCATTTGGAAAGGCTGAATATGTCTCAGTAGTAATTCCACTCTTGTTTTAAAAACACTATTTTGTACAACAAGTACTTTTAAGGCTTCATATTTTAATCGAATTGTAAAGATGTGAAACTCGGCATGTAATGTGGTGTAACCTTTTTTAAAACGTTCCTAATCGAACAACATAATGTACTTTTACTGACTATTTTTGATGTAAACTTGACCTGTATTTGGTTAATCGTAACTCGTAAGAGATTGATAGGAGTTTTACGCACTGCCATTGGTCGGGCTTGCCATTTGCTTATCGTTATTAATGAAGAATGTTCACTTCTAACAAATTAAATTATAATTTTCAAATTTTCAATTAGTTTTCCTGTTTTGTTTTAAAAACATGCGTTTGTTTTTACGTAATGACCGCCGGTCCATTACGGAAAAACAATGGACCGCTGAAAGTGCTTCTCAGCCAATCACAGTCCGCCATTTCACCGGAAGTGATGCTTGCCATATAATAAATCATTAATAAATCCGCCACTAACCTTTTCGGCATCAAGTTGAAAAAGATGGTACTGGATGCATTGATCAAGTCTATGTTTCCTAATATGCCACGAATCCTTTAACTTTTCCCTCTTCCCGTGCAAATTTTCTAAAATATTCTTTATTCTAGCACCGGTTGTTTTCCAGTCTTCACTGGCGGCGTCGGCATGTTTGAGTTTATTTTCCGTGATCCACTCTAGGAGTTTACTCCCCTCCTCTTCCAACGTTTCAATGGGGGCTTTAATTATCCATTTTCTAACGTGTTGGTTGTGCTTGACTTGTTCACGTAACGTTACAATGTCGTCGGCATAGTCTTGGTGTATTAAACCTTCGTGAATTTCTTCCAATTTTGTCAACAGAGACATCGCCTCGAAATTGAATTTCTCTAATGCCTGGAAATTACACAGAAGAGATCGGAATTTAGAAAAGGGGTCGATTGTAGGGGTGGATTTATAGGGTAGGGGTGGACAGGGGTGCGCACCCCTGTTGGCCTTGATCAACAGGGGGCAAGGGGGGGTGTGCAAAAAAATCAAATTCAGAAATATGGCACAATTTCCAAGGTTTTCCTTTTTTGAAGTCAAACTGAAGCTCATAATTCAATGCCCATATCGCAGGAAATGGCATTTCTAGAGTTTCAAAATTTTCCGGGGATCATACCCCTGGACCCCCTAGGGAGCTTGCGCCTTCGGCCCTCAAGTCGTTAGGAGGCCAATTCATTTGAATGCTCTACCACCCACCCACCCCTAAAAAATTATAACGAAACACTTGACTGCTGACACAGCACCCCCCGCCAGAGAAACCTTGCTGGATCCACCCCTGGTCGATAGTGGACGAAGTCCGGGGGACGATTGTTCAAAGGTGTATTAGCGTAACCCTGGGTTAAAATTTAATCCGCCGTTTTGGTTTGGGTACAATTGCACTTCTGTTCATTTCAAAACTTTGGAAAATAAAACTTCTGTTGACGCAGACATGAATTTTGGAAAACTATCTTCATATTGTTTTGTGTGTGTTGGTGTTGTGTACTCAGGTGAATATGATGTTTGTGATGTTACTCTGAGTGTGGAGGCTGTTGGGAAGATTGCTTTGAAATTTGCGTTAATCTAGGATTAAGTTAACCAGCTTTTGAACAACCGGCAGACTGATCTAAGCTATTTGCTATTTTATTACTTTATTCGCATGACCTATTTACAAGGTATTGCTAAAGTTTTCAATAATATATTACATAAAATGTGATTAACAATATTAATAAGTTTTATATCTATTTTACTTTACTTTACAAAATAACAAATGTTGTAGGATCTCTGACTATTTATTTGCAATACCAAAGATTTGAATTATGAAATAATAATTATCATATATAAATATCAAATTTTAAGAAAGTTAACTACTTCGAATGTAACCTAGTTTCAAGGCATTCATCACGTTTCTTAAAACAACCGAAAAGAAATTTTGAGAAAATGTTGAGCAAATCGGGATTATTCGATGACAATATGTTTAGTAAGTCATCAGTTGTTTGGAAATTTATCGGTACATTAAAGTCATTTTGTAGAGTATTTGTTAAATCATTTCTTTGTTGTTCATAATATTTACATGAAAGCCGAATCCCACTGGAGCGGCGGAGAAACAGTCTGCGATCAATCAACACTATGCCGTACAGTTACGTAAGCAGTATTTTGCATAATTAATTTAAAATTATTAAAAAATGTCAAGTCCAAGATGGCGGACGCAGAGCAACTATGAATTATTACACATAACAATGTAATTCATGCAATTTTCGGCGTGATCACAAAGGAAAATTTCAACCAATCATATTCCGCCCCCCGTTGTGCGGGGGAAACTGCACGGCATTAGCGTTGATTGATCGTAGACTGTTTCTCCGCCGCTCCAGGGACCTCAATTTATTCTGGGTTACACAAATCAACACGAACTATAAATTCATATAACAAACACTTCTGCAGTTTCCAGTCCATCATATCATAGACTATGCTTTGTAATCATAATTTTACAGGTGATTTTTAACAATACTTGTAAAACTCATTAATAATTCATGCTTGCTTGATCAACAGCTAAACATAACTATCCTATACACCTTTATATATAAAGAAATACATTACCATCTGCATGATCACCCATTGATCATGATTGTACACAAGTGTTCCTCCAAATCCCAACGTCAGGCTACTAGGCTCGATATATTTACACAGACCCTCTACTGAGCTGAATGTCACCTAGAGTTTAAACAAACATTCAAAGAAAACAATAAGTATTTGAAAACAAAACATTTGAAATGTGATATGTTAAGCTACGGATACACGAGCAATACTTTTCTGGCGATGGCAATGCAATGGTGGTAAAATCGTTGCATTGCCGTCGCGAGAAAGAAATTGCTTGTGTATCATGCTCTGCGACGGCAACGCAAAGCTGCGCGCAATCGTCGCCGAAATTTCAAATCATTTGATTTTCTGCAATGATTGCCGAAAATTGGGAGGTGTGGTCAAGAAAGGTCAAGGTTGATGAATGACACGTTTCTTGACCAGCCAATGAAAAGCGTTATGAAGACATATATTGCAGGTGAAATATTTCAGGTGTAGCCACCTTGTGCGACGGCAACGCAATGCTGTTATCACCCATTGCGTAACCATCGCAGCAAAAATATTGCTCGTGTATCCGAAGCTTTAGTAGGGTCATAGCCTATATCGGGACACGGTTTGAAACATTTGAAATGTAATATGTTAGTAGGGTCATAGCCTATCGGGATACGGTTTGAAACATTTGAAATGTAATATGTTAGTAGGGTCATAGCCTATCGGGACACGGTTTGAAACATTTGAAATGTAATACGTTAGTAGGGTCATAGCCTATCGGGACACGGTTTGAAACATTTGAAATGTAATATGTTAGTAGGATCATATCCTATCGGGACAGGGTTTGAGAACTCAGATTCGGTGATTGGAATATCCATTTTGAAAATCCCACGGTAAGATTACGATTTCTAGAGCACAAATTCACATGTGGGTATGATCAAATGCGCTTTACATCAAGTATTACGCTTACCAAATTACATACTTAACCTACACGGCTAAAAACGCACAGGTTATTCCAAGTTGATATCGACAGGCGTGAACAATGTTGTGCGGCAAACTATGAACAAGTTGTCAACCATGTTGTTCCAAGTTGTTACACTTGAACAATGCTGTAACAACATGTTGACAATACCGTTCATAGCGGTGGGCCGCACAACCTTGTTCACGCCTGTTGATATCAACCTGGAACAAGTTGTTGATTTTCTCAATTCTTACGCGTGTAGACTATTTTATCTTTTACAACAATTGTGATATTACTTTCTGAACTGCATGTTTATCCAAACCCACCCTGTCAACTTTCCCTGTGGGAGGAAACCGGAGCGGGCACCTAGAGAAAACCTACGACTTTCAACAGAGCGTCGACTCTTTTTATAGGAGAGTCCGTAGCGAGAATCGAACCCACGAACTCAGAGGTAAAGGGCGCTTGCTCTCGTGAATACAAAACCGAAACCCCATATGCCATACAGTCACACATTGTTTTAACACATTTTTGGTATTAATGCAGAGGGCCAATTGCGTTTAGGTTATCATGGTGATATTGAGCATGCAGCGATTCCTGTACTTGTAGTATTTAATTGCAAAACTCGTGAAAGTAGACTTGGGTCTGCCCTGTGCCCTTTTTTAATTGACTCGTTGAATGATGAATGAGTACGAGCTCTGATGGGGGGCTAACAAAGTGAATTGGAAGTTCGTCAATTGTAGGCCACCTGAAAGGTAATGTCTTACGAATCCACATAGAATGTTTTACATTGTCCTACCGATCGCTAAGTTTACTCGACTAATGAGGAAGTACTTGTTTTCTGGTGGGGCGTTTAACGAAGTTAATACATGTTCTTTGATGTTACATACGATGTCTTGCATGCAGTAATCAAATGAGAAGAGTGCACTCTCCTGCACGGATAAAAATCTCACAGTTTGTCAACAACACTGATGTTTTCACCCAGTTGTTGACAAGTCTGGAACAAGTTGTTATCATCTTGTAACAAGGTTGACGAGGCAAAAAGACTCGCAACAAGTTGTTCCATGCAACAAGTCTGATATCGTCTGCACGTAACAACTTGTTAACAAGCTCGTAGCAACTTGTTACGAACAGCCTTGTTGGAACAACTTGTATAACAAGTCTGTTACCGTTATCAACCTTGCAACACGGTGACAACAACTTGTTCCAGACTCATCACAACAACTGGGAACAAGCAGTGCGAACACAACTTGTTTGCATATCTGTGTGTAGTTGACTGAACTGGTGAATAAATGTGTGCTTCAAAGTGGGAAATCATAAACTAAAGTGATATCATACAATTCATGTGGAAAGAATAAAGCCTTCAAATTGCGCACTGCTTTCACCTGGCTCACTTCGGTATACAGATGAGTCCGTATATCAGATTCGGATAAAACTAGCACGTACTAGCGTCCTATTCAGAAGAAGACAATGGCTTTCTGTTTTCACCTGTTTAGCATGGACTAGATCATCAACACGTCACCCGATATTATTTTAGTGATTTATGGCCTAAACTAATGTTAATCTCCAAAATGATGAGCAAAAACGTGTAAGCTGACGGTTCAATAACTAGCCACGATAATAAAATAACATCCTTGCGATAAAAATCACAAACTAATCACACGTGTCCACTATGGCTAACTCTAAAACAATGCAACTGAATATTCTACACTGAGCTCGATACCACACGAATTACTGAACTATTACAACAGATGAGATGACATAACATATATCATGTCGTTCCATCAGTGAAGATATAAAATTCATATATTTCTAACATTTTAAGCAAACTTATCACTTTGCCGCCTTGAACAACACAAACTCCACTAACGTCAGTAAAATATGCAAGCTTTGATTGCCAAGAAAATTCTAACTTATTGACACCACTTAATACTGTGCACAAGGTCAAGGATAGTTTACTCAAGCATGTGGCCACAGTAACACTAATTTTTAGAAAACAATGCGATGTAAACATGAAGACTGACCAAAACTAGACGTAAGTGTCAAAATATCGTACAGTATTCATTACAGTTTGCAATTTGGCACACTGCAAATTAATTTACTTGATATAAGAAAAGTAAACGATCGGCGCAGGTGTTTTTAAATAATGAGGACTGTTTGAAAAAAACTGCTTTAGAAACCCAAATCAAAACTCGAAGTTAAAAATTTTTACTTCACCGTATTCCAATGAACGAAACATGATCTGTGCCGACTTTAGGCTGTATTAAACCTCTAACAAACTTTGCTATAAAATGTCAACGACTAGACAACATTGCAATAAGATTTATGAGATTTGCACTCGAAAATCATAAAAAAATTATGAACAAAAATAATGTTCCCCAATGATCTTCAGACGACAGAGACATGTTATAATGTACAAGTATCCGAAATTCTAAAATATATATTTATTGTACAAAATTGTGAAATGTGCAAAAAATCATAAATCAAACAGTTTTCACAAAAAGTTTTAAATATTCATAGCAGTAATTTAAAATGAACAATAAACGTGGCATCGCACAATGCTCATTAATTCATGACGATTTCCGTCTGGGAATTCTGCAACGGGTATATCGAGCTTAAAAATCATCGCTCAAGTGCAGAATGCTTGAGAAATAGCGATTTTGAAGAACGAATACATTACTAAACGCTTATAACGGTGATGCAAACTGGTAAAAATGCGGAATATTCGGTTAATTTTCATTCAAAGTCTCCACTCTCGCTTAATATACGAACGATAAGCAATGTTAATGCTTGGAGATGACTGTACGTGAGCTACTGAGCGCTCAGCAGTGTTTACAACAACTGAACTAATCTTTTAAGCCATGTAAAACAACTTTACGACCACACATAAGCTTGTATCAGCCAACAGGAGAAAAATGACAAGATTCCTAGCAATGTACTTGAACGCTGATAAAATTTTAAAGACAAAAAAATAATAAACGTCTAAACACTAAATCAGAAAAACGACATAAAATGTAACAAAATTAAACAAACACAAACCTTTTTGAAGACATCTTAACTCGAATCCATAAAACATGAACGCATTTTAGACTTTATAACTGACTCGACGTTTTCAAATGCAGGTCATGTCGTTCGTTGACCGTAATTTAATCCGGCTCAAACAATTCTGGCAATTAATTATTGATGACAGGACGAAATATAATCTTTACCTCAAAACTGAACTTTCCACTTCCAGACGAAGCCTTATGCCTCTCCCAAAAACCTTCGGGTTTTATTATGTAGACAGAATGAATTTTCGACGGGAAACACTCCTAGAAAAAGGTAAGGAATGGTATATTTAATGAAAATGGAAATATAACTAGAAGGAAACAACAAATCATTTATATCGCTTCGTTTATAGTTAAATTCAAAAGCATGCGATGGGTCTTGCATTCCTAAATAAACTTTTTGTTTACATAGTTAAAAATTTCTTTAGAAACATTTAAGATTAGAATCCATCGCAAACAGAAAGCCGGAAAAGTAACAGAAAGATTGCTCAAAATATTTTTTCATAACGTACAGAATGACGCAGCTGTTTGGAATCAATTCAGTCGTTCAATCTTTTTTCACTTGTTGTAGAAACACAAACAAACATTAGGAAAATATGGGACTGTATCGAAAGGTCTATTCTGTGGTGTTAAATACAAGTTCTTTACTTAATATCACTTAGAAATATCCATGTTTTGTTGTCTTATGCAAGATTTACTGTTTTGGCTGTGGAGTATATACAGCGAAATAAAAATAAAAAATCTTCAAAACAGTTCAAACAATTTCATGTCAAAATATACTGGACGTTCTTCGTTGAAGTACCAGTTTAATTTTTAACGTTTACATGCAGAATTTTTTATATTGGTAGACAAATTTGGTCATAGTTTTCAAGATGTACAGTATATATGTATACATCACGATTTTGGTACGTACTGTATATATTCATGCTTCAACTACAGTATAGGCAATACCATGCATTATCAGGATATAGGAACATTGTATAATAGTATAGTATTTCGCATTAAGCTGCCATTGTCTACAGTATGTCTGAACTACACGGATAAAAATCTCACAGTTTGTCAACAAGATGTGTTCGCACTGCTTGTTCCCAGTTGTTGACAAGTCTGGAATAAGTTGTTGTCATCTTGTAACAAGGTTGATGTGAGGCCAACAGACTCGCAACAAGTTGTTCCAACAAGTCAGATATCATCTGCAGGTATAACAAGTTGAACAAATAACAAGTTGATGACAACAAGCTCGTATAGCAACTTGTTACGAACAGTCTGTATTGGTCTTGTTGGAACAACTCGTATAGCAAGTCTGTTACCGTCATCAACCTTGTAACATGGTGATAACAACTTGTTCCAGACTTGTCACAACAACTGGGAACAAGCAGTGCGAACACATCCTGATATTGGCTTGACAGCAACCTTGCTACAACTCGTTTGCAGATCTGTAAAAACTTACGTGTGTATTTGAAAACGTTAAAAAGCAAAAAGGTCAATACAGTGAGATGGTCTATACACACGGAAAGTCTCACATCTTGTAGCAAGTCGTCAACAAGTTGTCAACAAGTTGTCCCAAGTTGTCAATAAGTATGGAACAAACTGTTGACAACTTGTAACAACCTTGTTGATATTATCAGACTTGTTGCAAGGTTGTTCCAACAACCCTGTGTCGTCAACCTTGTAACATTCTTGTTATATCATGACTGTATCAGACTTGTTAGACCAACCTTGTAACAAGTCTGATAATGCCATCAAGCTTGTTACAAGTTGTTAACAGCTTGTAACAAGCTTGTTGATATTGTCCAACAAGTCCGATACAGTCATGATATAACAATATTGTTGCAACCTTGACCAACTTTTTCACTGTCAAAGTTCCAGATATGATGTCATTTATAGGTGAATTTGTGGTATGAAAAACAAAGGAAAAGTAATTTGCAATTCACCTAATGATATCACATCCGGAAATTTTGAAAGTGAAAAATTTGATCATGAATCCAAGATGAGACTTTTTATTATAAAGATATATTACATTTCTTCTTCGAATGACCCAAATATTACACATACCAAAAATCATATTTGTAGTTAGTCGCGCTTTAACCAGGAAACTTTAACTAGAGTGGTCTTACGTCTGTGCTCACTCACACTCAAAGAGTAGAGGTTCAATATAAGCTTCCCTTGAGTGTCAGTGCAGTTTTTGAATAGCTGGAGGGTGAGTAGTCACATAGTAAGGTACGAGACTAACCCTCCAGCTATTCAAAAACAGCACTGGCACTCAAGGGAAGCTCAGATTGAAACTCCACTCTTTGAGTATAAGCGTGAGTGAGCTTTTAGAATACAGGCGTTAATGTCGTAACTTACTTTGTGACTACTCATCCTCCAGCTATTCAAAAACAGCACTGACACTCAAGGGAAGTTCAGATTAAACCTCCACTCTTTGAGCGTGAGTGATCTTTTAGAATACAGGCGTTAATGTCGTAACTTACTATGTGACTACTCATCCTCCAGCTATTCAAAAACAGCACTGACGCTCAAGGGAAGCTCAGATTAAACCTCCACTCTTTGAGTGAGCTTTTAGAATACAGGCGTTAGGGTATGACAGCTTAATGTAAAATACTGTACACTGGGCCACCAAGTGCGTTGATATATTGACTACAGTGACACATTTAAACAGCACAATATCAAAATTGTACAGTGCGTTTAATAACAGTTCATGACAAGATACCTGCAGTGATTTTAACACAGGTTTGATGGCTAACCATGTGCTACCACGCATGTCCAGAACAATACTAAAACCCCGGTCCTTTGCATGGTCACTACAAAATAAGAACAGAAAATTACCGAGAGTGACTGTCAGTAATTCTGTCAGATCTAGACTAAGAGATGGTATACCAATGTTAATGGAAACTACACAGTGAAACTACAGCAAGGGCACTAAAAGACTTCCGCCCGCGAATTCATGCATAAATTATAATATCATGCATAAATTATAATATCATGCATAAATTATACAACGGGCTGATATGCATTTTCTGAAAGGGTTATAAACTGTCTGGGCACATAAACTGTTAAAATTGGTTTCTATACACATGTCAGGATTGACAAAATATAAAAATTTTGAAATAGATAGATAAAAAAAAACATGTTAACAAAACATTTTACCCTTGGGTGTGCAATTAATCGGCATTAAACAACAGCGCACTTTTTATAAATTTTGAGAGCATCTGAATGTTATCAATTATCGTCCTTTAGTTATAAGTGTGCTTTTCCATACGCAAACTAGTAATGATGACGTCAACAATACGGAGAAAATATCGTACTCTTAACAAATGTTGACAAGTTCCAGCAACAAGTAATGTAGCCACACGTCTTCTTATCTCAACGATTAGGAAATGTTTATTAAATGTCATCATTGGGTTATCAGTGCGTTTTCCTCAATACAAACCACAAAGACAACGTCAGCATGACGTCAGACATGACCAATTAAATTACAGTAAAGTGGCATAAATCGGTCCAAAAAGGCCTGTTCAAAGCGAAGCCAATATGTTGGTCCACAAGATGTTGGCCTTGTTTGAATATTATGTTTGATATTGTTGGCTTATGTTGGAAGACATTCCGCCTGATCATGGGGAGGGGGGTATAAATTCAATCGATTCAATTTCGCTATTCATTTTAGACATGGCCACTTATGAAATTTACATTTCACACAGAGTTATCAGGAAACGGCAATCTATACTGATAAGAGTGCACTCGAAACAATAACATACCATAATATACTCCCACGGATGATATCAGCATTTATATTGCATGTTGGTTGGTTTCAGTACCCGTTATACAGAAAGCAGATAGTGGTTTGCCACCAAGTGTTGTCTACAGCCTGCTTTACACTATCAAAGTTTCTGTGATCATTGCATAGGAATTTTGCACAGGTAAATTTTAAATTTTGAAGGATTTGTAAGAAATGTTTCAAGGAACTGACTCAATATAAAACACTAAGACAGTTCTGTTCCCTCATTTCTTACAAATCCTTCAAAACTTTACCTATGCAAAATTCCTACTGTGATCACAGAAACTTTGATATAGTGCCAGCCAGCCTTAAGTGCAATGAGGTTTTTAGTTGCAAAAAAAAAAATATTAAAATCATTTTCACACGCTGATAAAAATCTAATTGACCATCACCTCGCAGTTCCCATCTAATGGAGCATACTCAATAGACTAAGGTTAAGAGACTTGACATAATAGACCTCATTATTTTTTTTCCCTTGGTTTATGCACGAAATGATCAGTTCATCGTCACGTGTGTATTGTATTTTCGCTAGCTAGAGCAACTAATAACTATGTTTTTATTTAGTCATTGTGTAATATCATGACTGGGTAATTAAACCAATACACTGGTATTGGTTGGTTGGACGGGGAAAAAACACACATATGATGATGAACCGACCATTTTCGGCATGACAAAAACATAGATAATGACGTCTATTAAGTCTGCATCGAGTTTCCTAACTTTATTCCATTGACTATGACTGGACGATATAAAGTCTATAAATCTTACTGAAACCTGCCTTACAGAAGTAGGTACTGTAGTTCATTTTCACAATTTCAAAGAAATATTTACTTGAGGGCACACTTTAATAACAGGAAACTTTCAAGACCCAGACATTTGTCGGTAATTAATGTGTAGGTTTTAAATGCAAGTGAATTTAGGATCCAATTTAGGAGTGTACGACCCCCCGCGTAAGTAATCATTGGCATTGCCTCATTTTTTTGCCCTGGATGAATAAAACGTATTTATCAAAGAACGAAGCATTTCAATACGCAAAACTTAGGGAGTCAAAACTTAGGCATTTTTAATAGAAAGTATAGAAGAAACGTCATAGGATACCTAGGAACACGGTTTTGTTCTAGTGTAAAGTGTGTACATCATGCTATCAATTCAAATACATGAAGATTGACAACAAATTGGCCAATTGATTTCTGGATTGCTCAGGAAAGAAATCAATCTGCAGAATGTAGTTGTTGATTGCTTGCGTTAACTAGATACATGGGCAGACAGCTTGATTAACCCCCATTGAGCGCCACTGCATGCTCTCCCCTTGATGAGTAAAATCGTCTGGCGTTTGACAGAGTAAAATAATATAGTAGGGCGTATTAGGGCGCAAGGAAACCTATGTGGTGAGAATTTTAGAAAATAAACTTTGATGTTAAGATGTTTCTTTGTCATGCAAATATTTTATTAACCCAGAGGCACTCATAAAGATTCTTCCTTTAACAGATAAAATTGCCTGTTTAAATGAGATAACTAGCTCTACCCCCTTCACGAGGTCAGTAAAGGCAATCAATTAGTCTACCATTCCATGAGTATGGTATTGATTTACAGTTTCATGTCTAGCAGCCTAGTAGAACGGTTGAAAGATTTATCTAGCACAGCAGTCAAAGAAAAAAATTAATTAATATAAGAATTGAGATATTTGATATCCTTGAACCTGAACTCAAAAATGCTGAATCTTTATCTAACCTGATATAGCCTATACAAATATTCTTGTAAATTGCATTATATACATGTATTATAAATAATGTACGTTTTACTGTAAGTATACGGTACTGATGTAATAAACAATAGTCGAGATGGTATTTCGAAAGTCGTGGATTCGAAGCCCAGCCGCGGCAGACATTTCATCCTATTTATAGCTATATCATCCTAAATTCAAAATTCGTGTACAACGGCACAATAAAGTCCACTGGGCATCTTTATTACTATTTAGTTTCCCTGGCATACCACAAGATGTAGCACTCATCAGATAAATTAATGACTACAGCAAAATCCTACAGTACAGTATTTATGTACAAATGGATGAAAGCTTTAAAGTACGAATCATAATGGTAGCTGGGCACAGCTGTATCGCAACAGCCATATATACTGACAGACAACATTTTATTGCACATCAACTACACAAAATTCAGTAAAAATCTAGAAACTGATACATGACATGTTGCTCATCAGGTGACAATATGCTATCAGGAGTGACAGTATAATTGTTATTTTATCTTATGGAAATGTCCTTTTAATTAGTATTATCATTTTAAACAATGATAAAATCTATCAACTTGTGCTTTTAAACACTCGAGCAAATTGGCTCTGCTTTAAAAATAACGATGACGACTGCCACCAGTATTTGTTAATGAAATTATGATAATTATCCGCGATAATTTTAGCAGGTACAACACATTATTTCGTTTGCTACTACAGCAGAAAATATTTTTTAAATGAAAATGCCTTTTAGTACAATACACGTTACAGCAAATGAATATTGATCCATCGAGGCACAATGCACTGTATCAAGTTTTTGTTTTCGATTGAATAATAGTTGAAGGGTCTTGTAAATGGAAATTGTTGAGCGGAAATTTATTTTAATACATACATTTCGCTAATTTCCATCTACATGCAAGCCCCTTCATAAATATTGATATTTACCCATAATCTAACATGGCAGTACCCTAGTATATATACATGCACTTGTGGCTATAGCTCGACAACTGGCCTCTGTAGCTCAGTTGGTTAGGGCACTGCACCAGAATCGCAAGTTCGATTCCTGTCAGGGACCTGTAGTTTTATTTTTCACAACTGTTCCCCGTTAGGTCTTATAAATGTGCAAAAATTTCCAGTAGATAATTTCCATCTACAAGACCCTTCAACAGTGAACTCTAGCCTGTCTCACAGACCTTACAATTAGTAAGGTCTGTGATGCGCTCTATATAAATGTTACTTGAACCTGTCTAATGCATGTTATAGGAGGGAAAAGTGAGATTACTAATGGCTTAAATTACATTTTGATATTTTGATCTGGTGTAATACCTAATATATTTTTTCTGTCATATTTTTGCATGCAGGTACAAATAATGGTAAGCTACTGATTCACAGTAAAAAATAAACATTTGATTATAACATGACAAGATTGGTGGCCGTAAATTGGTGTGTGACTCATGTTACGACAAAGTGACACGAGGTCACACCAACCTAAATACTTTTGAATTTCGTCGGATACCATACGAAGGAGAAACATACAATGTCTATCAAGTAACAGACTATATGTTAGGCAAACTACCAACACAAAGAAATTTTATATTTTGGATTACAATAGTAAGGATTGCTACATAATACACGTGACTCATGTTACGTGACTCATGTTACGTGACTCATATCTTAATATTTCAGTTGAGAATTGTTACCAATATAGCTTCTGAAAATTCTTGACAACTTTTTTTTCCCAAAAATGTCATCACTACCATGGAATTACACTCAGGTAATATTGGTGAGGAGCAGGGGGGCCACCCTTCAAACTGCAATTTACAGCAACAAAAGGGTGGTACTATATTGAGAAAGCTTCTGATTGATGGGGATATAACTACCTACATACACTGACTCATACAGTTCGAGATTAATAGTATTATATTGGCAACCTAAATTTGCCCCCCCCCCCCCCCTCTCAAACTGCTTGGAAGAAGATTTCTCCAGAAAGGCCTTCGTAAGTGTTGTACTGTACGTAGATACAGACAGTTCTTGCCACAATAAAAAGCTTCATGCCTTTTTGAGCTTAAAATACATATTTCTGAATAGCATGTCATTTTTAACAAAGCTACATGACATGCACAATACTCAAAGAGTATTTTTACATGTTTTTGCAGGTGGCACATAAATATATCTTATAAATGTAATATTTTATAGTGCACTGTACAAGAACGTGCATGGAGTCAAAATGGCGTTTTTCAAAAACACAGTATACAAGTAAAATGCCTTGATGAAATTTAAGTTATTTTTTATTGATGCTACCTCCCCTTGTTACTTTAGCATGTTATTTTGCTTGATCATAACTTTGGCTTATGACTAATGATGCTCATGAATAAGAACAACAACATGTCACAAGTGTTGTTTATCGTACTTTCAACTACTTTCAATGATAACTTTGAATACACAAGAATTATATTGACTGTGATATTGATTGGAACTCCTCCTCCCAATTCAAATTTTCAATGGCATGCCATTAACCTTTAATAAGTGACATTGCACCTTAATGGGTCCAACTTTATCATCTCATTCTGTCTAACACCAGACGATCAAATATTTACAAGGGTCTCAACGTCTTGCATGTCAATGGGGCTAGCTTAAATGGCTGCATTGCACCTCAATGCACCCAACTTTAGCATTTTACTCCGTCAAACACCAGATGATTTTACTTCTCAATGGGAGAGTCTTACATATCAATTGGTCAATTGTAATATTAATTTGAACTCCAACCCCTTATATAGATAAAATTCTAAGTTATCATTATACTTTAGAATGTGTTGTGATAAAAGTGCAATACAGTGACAACTTGGCTGCAATTTCTCTCTCAATTACAATTTAAAAAAGATTTAGAAAATGAAGCAATTTTACAGTCTTTATACTTTAGTATATACTGTATCATATTTGTTGGGAAAAAAATAGAAAAATGGCTGAAAAAGACAGGTTGTCTTATGGAGTAATATTGCCCAGCTGTAATTTTTTTTCCAGTCACATATCTTGACTTTGATTGACATAAAATGCACATTACGTGGATGTACTGTATAGCTCTGAGTGTTATCTCGTTCTTTCAGATAATGTACTCTTTAAAACATCCTATTAAAAGTGCCATTCGGTCCAATATAACGAGGGCTGTTTTATGAGCAGTCAAATATAAGTGTTAAATAATTGTTAAAGTCACCTACTAAACCCCAGGTCATACGAGGATATTGGCAGTCACACATTGTTAAGGGGAACATTCCAAGCTCTAGATTAACAAAATAAAGGTTCGATGAGTGTTCCAACTACGGTTTAACTTAAATACAATACATGATAGTGTTTGGAGAGCATTAAGAACAGCTAACCAAAGTTGCATGACTGCCATCTCTAAATTACTAATGCACCTTGTTTGACCTGGGCTTAAGTCAAAGAAAAAGCTTATACTTGTACAGATGTATTTATAAGTATGATACAGTAGGTACAATTTGCATATATGCATTGCATAAAGTTGGGTACAATTTCCATAGCAATGTAACAGCTGTTGCAAATTGCTAATGGAACAGATAAAAGGGTGGTACACCTTAATTTAGAGGGTATTTCTGTGAATTACCGATTGTTTTCATGAAATGTGAAATAACGAATTTTTGTGTCATGAAATATGATTTAACAACCCCACGAAATGAGAATTCATTTAAGGCTTGTAAAACAAAAGTAGAGAAGTAATGAGAACATCAACTTGATTTTTCCTGATATATCTGTTGGATGTTAAAAGATTGTTTCAATGTTACAGTAAGCTTTTCTTCATGAAATATATTAGTTTTGAAAATGCAAAAATTGAGTAGCAGCACTAACAGTCTCATATCAGTACAGTATTTACAACAAGTGTTAATTAAAGCATATATGATTGTGGGGACAATGTGAGTAGATCTGGCGTATAATATACTGTATACAGTTAGATATAGTCCAAAGCTTGGTTCAATATAATATTATGATCAGAGAGCGTCTGACCCATTATGATGTATCCTGATTGTGCATCCATATTCAATGTGACATAAAATAGTGACATACGACACCTTGTACGACACTAACTTGCAGAAGTCACATGAAGAAAAGTGACATGGCAATCTTTTTTGAAACTGCGATATATCAGTTTTGAAAATCTGACAAGCAACATGCATAGCCCTCCAAATAGGTCCCTAGATTTGATTTTGGGACAATGATGACCTGTTGTGCTGACGAAGAGCAATATACCATATAGAACTGGTCAACTATACAATTGCAACCATTATTATTTTATCATACACCTAACTATGTATGAAGTATATATTAATTTAACAAAAGCTCAAATAGGTCTCTAACTAACGGGACCTCTGTCCAGATAAATAGTGTAATTGGCTATTGATATTTCACCCATTAAGTTGCATTGTGCCTTACTTTATTATTTTACTCTGTCTAACGCCAGATGATTTTACTCGTCACAGGGAGTGCACTGGCACTCAATGGCTTAATCAGACTATCTGCTCATGTGTTTAGTTAACACATTAGTGGCATATTGCACCTAATCTATTATTTTACTCTGTCTAATGTCCTCAATGGGTTAATGTGACTGCAAGTCTATAAATCTGGGCTTGTATGTAAGCAACCAGGCATTTACGTCATGCAGCTGAAATTTTCAAGCTTACATCGAAAGAGGCAATCACTTTTACGTTTGTATGCAAAAAGGTCTGCCACTGCTTTCAAAACTTTGCAAGCCATCCTAGAAATATGCACTGTATGTTGCACTTGCAAGTGACATGTAAAGTGTAGATCTGCTTGCAGGCTAACAAACAATCAAGGGACTGCAATTTGCCAAAAGGCTCATGTGCAAATCAAGTTTAATGTTCCCTTGGAAACCATCTTGCAAACCATTGTTCTCGGTAATCTGCAATCAAGTGCAATGACTCACATAATCAATTTATAATAATTGTGTTGTGTTGTGTTGTGTTGTGTTTTGCCAAGGCAAATTCCCAAGGGAAACCAGCTAGCTTGACATGGTGTACTTATGTGAAATATATGCCATGTATACTTGAAAGGGCAAGCTGATAGGTCATAGAACACATATTAAAACTGGCAAATCCTTGCAAGTCTGTGAAAGCTGACACCAATAATATTTTATAGTCGCGCAGTTGAGGCCCACATACAGTCTGCCCCCTTGAAGTTGAGGTTAAAAGTCCCCTTTGGAAGGCATCAAGGAAATTGGCATACGTTTTGCTGTTGCAAACTTCGAAACTATTTTAGAATCCAGACAAACTGGCTTTAGCAAAACAAAGACGGAGACAATGAGAGACTTAAAAAAGGTCAAACGTTCTTCGCTCAAGCTTGCAATTTTCCTACAATGCTTTTATTTTCATGAATAGCAAAGCACAGCATGAGTTAAGGTCGCCTAAACAAAGGCAAACGAAAATAAGAAACAGTTCATATTACAAGCAATTTTTCGAAATACGAGCTTATAGCGCCGTCAAACCATCCAAAATTGGCCGAGACATGCTAAGCCTGACTAAACAAAAGCGAAAATTTGATTTTAAGACATAAAGTTTACATTCCAATAGTCTGAGCGCGAGTTTTTAGCTGGGTGGTTTTGGTGATAGGCCAAATAGCGTCCTCGGTAATCTCGAATGTGCGGATGGCATTATGCTGATAAAATCTACTAAATAAATAGTACAGGAGTCATTTGAAGTTAAAAATACAACTTCATTCAACCTCCTTTGGGGACAATTATTAACGAAGGGTGTTGAAACACCCGTCAAAAATTAGCCTAAAAAACACAGCGGTATAGAAACGACGTCGAAACATGATATATTTATGATTTCGTACGGCTCAGTGATTTTCAAAAGGTCGTCTTTTTCAGATGACATTTACAGTATGCATATTTACCAAATCAAACTCGCTTCTACAGCGCCGGAGTTTACATTTAAATCTGTTCAAAACAAGCGTGCAATACAAAAACATAAATAAGGCCACAAACCACAAGTGCCACAAACGGTTCTCCTTTCAACTTACCTTGGAAGACCGGCTAGGTAGACGAGTAATCTTTTAAAATCCTCGCTCTTCACGTCTGGGTTCGAACCACGACTAGGAACAGTTATCACAGGGCCGCCACGTTTGTCTTTACCGCCTAATTAAAAATACAACCATTTTAACATACTTATCACAACCTAAAATCGCACACACACATCGTGAATGTTACTACAAAGGTGAATTAAAATCCAACATGACATGATATCCTAAAACGCTTATAGGCAATTGACAAGCTGTAATCGCTTTGTGGTATTTGGTGTAATAAAAGGACAATTTTCGTATCAAATACTTGAGATCTGTGGTAGATGCGGCCTTTTATTACACGTTTCAATTGCTACAGTATAGCGTAGAATAAGTACAAAAATATCTAGTATGTATTTATACCAATGTACCTGATAAAAACGCGATCTGTTCCTTTAATATTTCGTGTATGGCGTTCGATCCTTGAATTTCCCCGCGATGCTCTCCTATATTAACATTAAATATAGGCTATGTCACATGTACAATCTAAATATTATCGTACGATCCACTCGTACTGCCGATATTCACCGCACATCACAAGCAGTTCGAGAAGGGGGGCAACAACAATGCCACTTGAAAGCAAATTCACAAACGTATAGTAACGATCGCTACCTCCAAACAACACGAAAGACAAGTCGCTGTCCGAAGAAGCACTCGACCATCTTTCCGACTTTATACTCATGCTGAAATCCAAGCCATAATTGCGCCGCGAAATTGGTTAAAATTAATATCTCCTTCTACTCGAGAAGCCATGTTTAGACTTTAGAATTGAAACAGGGTAAATTATTCCAAAAGAGTGACGTCACGAATAATTATCACATCTTAATTATAAGCAGACATGCAAGGCGCGGGTCACGGCTTTCAACGCGATTTTTATGACTTTTTTATCTCACCCAAAAATGTTCATAAATTCTCAAGAATATTTTTTAACAAAAGTTAGCTAATAATCTAGTGTGTGCTTGCTGAGAGCTCCGCACTAATTTTAGGAAGATTTGTGGAATATTCTTCACACCAGATAGAATTTCATGTATGACCATGTTTAAGTCCAGTTTAAGCCCTTCTATGTCCTATTTGTCAACAAGGGTATTAGTTTCGCCTTTGCCCGTAAGAGATTTATCAAAGCTTAAGCAAGCACAAGAATGCCATTCTCTAAAGGGATTGTCAGTAAACAAAACACCAACTCTTAACAACCAAAACAACGTCACCAAATGATTTAAAAGACCATTGTAAACTCTTTCAATAAAGAACCAATTTAGATTCATTTGCATAAGGTACGGAAATTTGATCACAATGCCGCATGGTTTAAACATTTCCGGGGTCGGTCCTCTTCGAAAACCAAAGGCTTATGTTAGCTTTTATATATTTATAATATTTTTCCTGTTAGTATATTATGGTACATACTATTGATCTAATTATATCAAAAAAAGTTTGGAACAGTATCAGTATATATAACAATTAAGTACTAGTTTTGTGCAGACAAAAAGTACTAAATATTATTCCTTGCTATTTTTGTAGGCACGTGGTTTGATACAAGAAGACCACAAAAACGGATGGCCAAATATTTCGGCTTTAGGGACTTCATTAAAAATTGGCACTGATCACAGTTCACTGGATCTACATGGATGCAGGATGCTTGGCTGAATTCGGCCGTGCATAGTAGATAGTTACTGCTGGACTAGTAACTAGTTACACTTGTGTACAAATAGAAAGTACTGTGTTATTTTGTGTTGATTTTCCGCACGTGGGTGACCGATAACCGTGTGGGAGAATTAGAAGATCACAATGCGGAAAAGAAAATATTTGGCATAAAGTTCTGGCCATTTACGGTGACCGATTATTAAACATTTCTGTTTACCGCATGTTTGAGCGAATTTTACTACCAATGACAATGTGGTACCAATTCGTCGGTTTTGGCAAGCGTCCTAGGACACCAGAGCAGTACATTGTGGTCATGAATTTCAGTATAGGAATTGACGCCGATACGGAGCAAGAAAATCAATGATAAATTAAACAGCGTGATCTCTTTTCAACTCAGGCTTTCTTTTATTTTGGGGGCAAATTGGTAATCTGTGAGTCGCAATTCAAGGACATCCAGGGGCACTGGTTCCCCGGAAAAAATCATGAATTTTGGGTCCGTCTGAACAATATTTCCTTCATTGTGAAGACTCTTGGAAAACAATCTAAAGGTCTTAATAAATCACCTTTATCAGCGTCAAATATTGATTTCAGAATGCTTGACAATTTAATTCAGTCGGAGACATACGGCTCACTTGAAGGGTGTTTAATACTTTATGGAAATTATCGAGTGGAATTTTGTATACATTTTATTATACCTAACCAGGAACACTTCTGCGAAAAATGCATGCAACTTTAGGTTCCTGCCAGGAATTGAATCTGCGGCCCTGCGATTCCGGTGCAGCCCTCTAACCAACTGAGCTACAGAGACAAGTTGTCGAGCTCTAACCACAAGTTCATGTGTATAGACATATAGGATACTGCCATGTTTTCAATTATGTGTAAATATCAAGATTTTGTTGGCATCCCACTCGATTCATGGTTGAAGGGCCCTGTATGGAAATTATCGATTGGACCATTTGCATTATAGACTAAATTTTGATCTAGACAAAACTTTCATCACAGCTTGAAAGAGCATCACAAAATTAGTAATATTCCAAAGATTCGTTGCGAAATGTTGTAAAATGCGGATAATATAGCCTTGCAAAATTTTCAATTTTCAGTCATTTTGTATTACAAACGGGAAATTGATGCCCCAACACCCGATTGGGCTGAAAATGGCAAATATTCGCATGACTATATTATCCGCATTTTACAACATTTCGCAACGATTTTGTGATGCTCTTTCAAGCTGTGATGAAACTTTTTTGTCTAGAACAAAATTTAGTCTATAATGCAAATGGTCCATTGATATACAAATGCAACTATCTATAGAAATTTCCACTTGATAATTTCCATACAACACCCTTTGAATGACTATTGTTGAATCCAGTGAGATGCCAACAGAAAGTAGTCCTGATTGAATTTGAAGTTCAGTCACTCGCGCGATACACAGACAGTGGTCTGCTGATAATTTTCCACACACCCATCCCCTCCCCAATTTTTCATCGAATTTGAACGAATCTACAACCATATACGTTCTCGCTGTCAATCTGTCACTAACCATATCTATATACGAATATATATTTAATATCGTGTGTATTTTTAGAACGTGTCCGCAAAAATAACTGACAAAATACAAAACGACTTTCCGTTTTCGGCGCAAATCTCTGGCAAACGCCGCAGACATTTATGAATATTTTGCGGGGTGTCTCTCACGACCGTTTCCATTTGTGGCTTTCCTGAATTCTCATGACTTGCATGCGGAAATCATTTGTCTGAAGTTTCAATTGGTTCCATGTGATGTGACTTAAAGCACGCCCTTTTAAAGTGAAAAGCATCCTCGAGTATTGCAAAATATAGACATTTTTCTTTCAGTCTTAACAGTTGTCAGTGGATTTCTAGTTAAGTTGCCAGGAAACAAATGGTCGTCAACTTCAGGCATAAACACGATTACACGATCGAAGTCACGCGACTCACGCGCCCGGCTTGGTTAAAGTTATTCTTTAATGCTTTCCCAAGTGATTTTCATGGCTACGTTTGCACTTCAGTACCGGATAGCTTTCTGTAGCGACATGAAAAACACCTATCTGTACCTTAAGGAACGATATTTTCAGAGGAATTATTGCAACGGAGAGATGTTGTATCACTCAGCTTCTGAAAGTTGTACATTCTGTATTGGATCGGGATTGGTCCTTCTTCGCGCCACTACGGAAAGTTATCCTGTATGGTGTAAAGTACCTGTATCATGTATTCCATTTAGTATTTAGTAAAAACCGCATACTCATCAGTCATCAAATCTCAGTATATTTTGTTAATCTAGAGCTTAAAATCTGCCCTATAATTCGTGATTGCCAAGAGTCTGACTAATGGTCGCGGGTCGCGTGTCGCGGGTAAAAAGTCGCGTGTCGCGGGTAGATTGTCGCGGGTCGCGGGTAAAATGTCGTGGGTAAAAAGTCGCGGGTCGTAAAAAAGCTCCAAACCGTGTATTTTATTGAGTCGCGGGTTGAATAAAGTGTGTAAAAATCACGTTATCATTTTGTAAACAACCATATAGGACTGCTTCAATACGAAATATTGCCCAAGAGCCTTTTGTCATGATTTAATGGTTCTATATAAACGTGCCAGAAGCCTAAAACTTGAAAGAATGTTAAACCAACAATTATACCATGAAAAAAATCCTCTAATCAAAAAATATGTTCTGAAGGAAACAAACAAGACTTCGGTAGAAATAAATTCAGTTTACCACTACTATTACAATCAGTTTTATACTAATTTAAAAAGAACCATATAGTATCACAAATAATAGATATATCCATGCTAGGACATTATAAAAGTACATTATGATTCACCAACAACCCGGATATTTAAGTCGCTGTTCTCTAGCACTTGTTTCTGGAAAGTACTGATCGATGCGCAGAGCAGTTGACGACAACTCGCACTGAGCCACTGAATAGCCACTTGTCTATATTTATCTAGAAACTCGCAATTGCAGCCATAACATCTTCGAACAACTATTGATAAAAACCATTAAATAACTAAATGTTAATGTGATTTTTACACACTTTAAGCCTGCAGCACACGAGAGCTATCTGCTGAGCAAAAAGTTACTCGTGCCTGTTAGCTCAGCCGATAGCTCACCGTGTGCGCGTACATTTTACTGAGTTTTTTGCCTCATGCAACCTTTTCTCACGTATCAAACATGTTTGATC